GATTTGTACTCGTCTTGTATTAGACAGCATTGATTTGCAGCATTGATTTGGATACCCCGGAGATATGTGCGCAACGGACATGAGAACTTCCCAAGGTGCAGGTTTCGAACACTGGGTCTTCCACGGGTGCTCCCGAGGTGCTTTGCGGTCCTCCGCTCTCGGCTACTCTTCGCTTCTGAAGCGCATCAGGCCCTCGCGAGGGTTGGCTCGCGAGGTCGCTTGCGGAAGCCCCGAAAAACTGGGGCGAGTCAACCTTAACAGCTGACAGGGAAGTCCTTAATATTCAGAAACGCCTTTGTTTGGGCAGTTGCCTGCTGTGTCGCTGGGGTTGAGATTCCAGCGCTAAACTCAACCATGTGCGCGCAACCGGATTGCCTTCCTTGATTTTGCCAAGGGGGGATGCGCATCCTGGCACTGATGGAAAGACAGTGTCGGCCTCAAACCTCGAAGTCCGAGCGACACACTTTCGGTGTCATTTGGAGTTGTGTTTGTTGGGTGTGCTGATCAAAATCCGTGCCCTTTTTTGTGGCGACGTGTGAAAAGGCAGTAATCAGCAGGACGCCGGCCATTTGCATGTGCTGGAGAAACTTTCCTCGATGGCTTCCTGAGGATGGATTGGACGAGGAATTCGCGGTGGAGGCCCAGACTGGGTCCGACAGGACAGCTTTCAGTCCGGACAGCTCCTAGAGCATGTCCATTCTTTCCCCCGAAGTTGTCGAAGCCTGGTTGGTTGACTGCCTCGCTGTGGTCATTGCAGTTCTGAGTTGCAAACCGCAAAAAGCCCGATGTGTCAAGCTGGATCAGACTCCCTTTGGGAGGAGCTTGGCAGAAGCTTGGGAGGCCGAGCTGCAGAGTGAACCGTGATACTGTGGATGGACGAAATCCTGCAGCACTTTGAAACCATGGGAAACCATTTAATTTGTCTTAGGTATTTGCAGTGGAATCTTTATTTTTTCAGGGTTTCTTAATTAGGTGGTGCAGGATTTTGTCCATCCACAGTGGATGCTCAGCCGGGAGAGCCCAAGTCTGGTCGCATGCTTTGACACGTGTCGGCCAGTTTGCGAGCGACGGGCAATGCACGCCAGCTGCCAGGAGCATGGTCAAGCATTGGAGTATGCCAAAAATGCACGGGCCTGAGAAATGTCACTGTCCGGCTGTTCAAATCATGCCATGTTCCCAGTCTATTCAACCACTTCCAGTGGTTGCTCTCAGCTAAGCTGCTCCAGGCCTTTCTGCATCGCGCAAAGATCTACGAGGCGGTCATTGACAGACGCTTGAGCTGTGCTGCTCACTCTCTGAACTCCTTTGATGTGATGCGAGTGGATGCCAGTTGTGCTAGGCGTTCCTGACTCACACTTCTGGCAGTTCACACTCCGCCCTACGACTCTTTAGCACCTTGGAGGCTGGATACTCAGGGAGCAGACCAAGATGCGCAAACACATGCCATGCTTCAGACGCCATTTTGCTCTAACATGTGAGGATATGTGGGGAGTGAGTTGCATATGTTTTCATGCCGTGCGCAGCAATTCATGTTATACTCCAAATCTCAGAACACCCAGCAGTATGTGGCGTCCCTCACCTGTTTACACGGTTGTGTTGTTTTGTCAGCAAGCCTTAAATGGAACAGGTGCACAGTCTACGCACTGTTTGGCCTTTCTGGCTGTTTGATAGGAAGGAGACTGCGGAGCCCTTTTGCAAACTGGCTTGCCTTGGTAAGAGGCATTTGATTGAGAATCCCTTAGATTTCCTGCATCATGGGGCTTTTGACAATCTCCAGGGCTCCCATTCATGGCTTCATTCGATGGGCGTGGCTTTCGTTGCTGGCTTTTCACAGGACAAGCTCCTGCGGCTGAAGTCTGCGCAGTCCTCCTTGCCACCAGCCGGTGGGCCAAGCATCAGAGCGTACAAATACATTGGGTTCTTTTGGCCCAACAGGTTGGCCCAGGCGGCTCAACCAAGGCCTGTTGATAGAGCCGAGGCCTGCAAGCGCTGTGACCACAATAGAAGTGAAGCGAACAAACGGCACAAGGTCAGTTCTGCGCATGTTCTGCGCAACGCGTATCCACAGACTCTGCGTTTGTTCACCAGCTGTGCCTTTCCCTCCTCAACTTAGCCAAGTGCGTTTGAGATGTTTAATGTGTGGAAGCGGATGTTCTCCAAAGCGCCTCGCCGGGTGTTTGGTTTGCCACGCTAAGGCCTTTGAGCTTCTGCAGCTGACGGACCCAGCGACCTACAGCTTCAAGGAGCCAAGCTAGGGGCTGTTGGTGAATTCAGATGAGAGACAAGTCAAGTCGCCGAGTGTGTGTTTTGCGCTTATTCGGCCAGGGCAATGTAGGTATCACTGTATCGAGGATGCATTGTGGCCCTTTCCTGTGTTGACGTTTGGTGTCATCCGGAGCGATAGCTGCAATAGCTCAAGACAATTAATGCATACACCGGCTGCTAGCTTTCGAGTTTTCTTTGCCGTGGCAACTTGGGGCTGGGCCTGATCTGGATACCAATCTCGGGTCTGGAAGGAATTAAGCCCCTCGAATTTGTCGTGTGCCATTCTCTCCCTTGGCCAACTGCTGTGCCTTTGAGCGCGGCTTTCCCTACCCAGCCATGGCCATGCTCGGTTTGAATAGCCATTCTTAGGCCTCCATCTAAATGGCAATTTTGGCTTTCCAAGGATGTGAAGGCTATCCAACTGGCTGTGCCAGCCGCCGATGCGATTTTTGCCCTGCAGAATAGTGTGCTCAGAGGATGAGTCGCTAGAGCCACGTGTCCAAATATTTTCAGTAGCCCGTTGCAGTGCCTTTTTTCGAGTTATTGTCAAGCATTGTATGTGTTGGTTTCAATAGTAATTACACAGTATGCGCCCGACTACAATTTCTATGTCCTCAGAATCGGTGGAATTTTGTATCACGCTCGTACCCTGCATTTCTTATTTCTTCTTTGTCTTGCTTGGTCGCGGGACCTCACAATACGTGCTTCTTTGGGATATTCCATGGAACCTGCAATGTGCACCTGACACTGCCCGACAAGATCTGCTTTTGCTCGGAGCAAGCTCCGAAAGCCAGCCATTTGGTCAGGGCTTGGCTACTCCGTCCCAGTTTGTGTCAGACGGAAATAGAGTTGACAAAACTTGATAGACCAGAATGATTTCAACCAACTTGATGATGCTGAAGACGTTTTCTAATTAACCGCGGTGCAACCATGTATGCAGCGGAACTATGTATGCAGCTTCGGAGCATCCGAAGAGAAAAACATTTGCATATGAGACGGGGTCAAACTTATCATGAAGCAGATTCAAGCGAGCTTCACTTTGCGGTCTTCTTTTACAACGAAAACGGTAGGAGACTCATGAAACGATGCCTTTGCAAGATGAACCTGCTCAGTGCCACATGCTTATACAACAACCAGGAGAGACTCTCACGAATACGATTGTCAATGCACTTTTTCACCGTGGCTCATCCCACCTGCGGCCACCATCCCTTGGCCCAGACGAAATGGAAGTTGTTTACAGCAAAGGCAAGAAAGCACAGGAACAAATGCCGGTGTTGGCGAAACATGCAGCCCTGATAGCTTCTTTCTTAGGGAGACTATTGCTGGGCATTGGCCTTGGAGGGTCCCAGATCAAAGGCATCGGCTTTTGACGGTCCACTGTGGCTTTCTTCTGGTGATATTGTCCCTGTTTAGCTTTTGGCTCAGCTCAGGAGCCTCCCATCACATTCTGGGATGCTTACTTTGAGTTTACCCGAGTCGCCGGTGCGCATTGCCAGTGCCTTAGTCGACAGCAGCTTGCCCGGGTGCTCTTTCAAACAGAAGGTGTTGTGTGGAGGCAATGGCCAGACCGAGGTTTGGAATATGTCATGGAGACCGCATCTGGCTTCATCAAGAGCTGGGACCTTACAGCTGACATCGAGTCAGGCTGGCCTTTGCTCAGTAGCTGGGCATGGTGGGGGCCGTGTCACGCGAAACGGGAGAAACCCAATCACAGGCTTCTACGCCACATTCCCCCACCTTGGGCGGCTCAACATCCCTTTGGACTCCCTTAAACCTTGGATATCAACCGCTGTGAGGTATGTTGGGTCCGGGGCGGCCCTGAGGTAAGGTTCCACGAGGGTTCCACCAGGGTCTCACCAGGGTTCCACCAGGGTTCCACCAGGGTTCCACCAGGGTTCCACCAGGGTTCCACTAGGGTTCCACCAGGGTTTCACGAGGTTCTGCGAGGGCTGCGGGGTGGTGCGAGCACTAAAAAGAGCACCGCATGCTGTTGGGGATATCACCTGAGCTTATTTGGGTGGGGGGCTTTTGGTGTGGTGGTTTTTGCTGGCTTCGAGCGGGCACCTTCTCAGGGCATCCGTTTTGCGTTTTCCTTCCGAGGGCGTGACTTCTGCACGCCCGCCTGGCTGCTGGCACCCTTTCCTCAGCTGAAGCCACTGGCTGGTGGCCCCAGTCGTCAGTGACTAAGTTTTTGACCCCATATTCATCAACCCCCGACTGGTCGAAAAGGGGGGGTGTTCCCAAACCAAAAGTGGTCTGATTCCCTACCAAACCCAGGGACACTAGGACCCCTATGAATAAACCGGGGTTGATTTAAGGCAGATGATTGTGTGTGTGTGTGTGTATGTGTGTTAGAGTTGAGGACCCCCAAAATGGTGGGTTTCCTCGTGGAAACCACCCCAAGAGTACCCTCAACAAGACATACTCTCAGGAGATCCGGTCATGGTCCATTTGGGAGGGATACGGCCTCAATAGATGTTTCGCATCAGATGAAATAATTCCTTTGTCAACTCTGTAGGTTTGTGTGAGAGAATCCTGGGCTGCGGTTTGAGGATATCGCCATACACTTTTTCGCCACCTATACATGCCATGCAATACAGCAACGCACCCACACACACACACAACATATCTCTTTAATGACAACCTACGCTACCCTTGTGTTCCTTGGAGTTCATGATCAGTGCCTGCCACACAATCATTTGCTTTGGACGTTGCGTGTGCATGCGCATTATCTG